GGGGGGGGGGGGGGGGGGGAGTCAATCATTTCTCAAATATCTTATTTTTGCCCTCTCCGGCACAATCTGTGCGCTGTTCACACTCATGATAAGGGCGTCCACGCGTTATTTCACCACAACAAGGCCCGTATGAGGACGTTATTTGGCATTCACAGGCCTCTTGTTGTTGTTGTTGTTTTGTTTGTTTGTTTTTTCCCCACCCCTCCTACTCCGACGAATCTGAAATCTGAATGAACCAGTAAAGGAGGAGGAGGGAAACAAAAGCGGAAAAAGTGCGTGTTTTTAAAAACAACAAGCAAAAAACAAAAACAAAAAACAAACGAAAGGAGAGAGAATGACCCTGGAATCCATAATGGCGTGTTGTCTCAGCGAGGAGGCGAAAGAAGCCCGGCGGATCAACGACGAGATCGAGAGGCAGCTCCGCCGGGATAAGAGGGACGCGCGCCGGGAACTGAAACTGTTGCTTCTCGGTAAGCCCGACAGGGAGAAACACGGAGGAGGGAGAGGAGTGGAGGGTGTGTGTGTGTCTGGGGGGAGGTGGGGGGAGAGAGCGAGAGAGAGAAGTGCAAAGCCCGAATTCCTCTCACAAGAAATACCTTTGTGGGGTGGGGGGGGTAGATAGGTAAAGTTGAGGGGGGTGGTTGGGCTGTAATATCTCGGTGTTGTGAGTCCAGTGCACAGATTGACAGGTCAGCAGAGGGAGGAGATGCTGCCCAGCCAGGCCTACAGGGTGTAAAAAGGAGGGGGGGGAAAAAACCAACCACATGATTTGAATAACTGCGACCGGCTTAGTGTCCAGGAAACAAATGCTCACCAGTCACTACAAGGTGGTGGTGGTTAACTCTTTTCCTTACATGCATTCCCAGAGGGCCCATCCAGGTGGTGTGCTCATGAGTGTGTCAAATATCGGCTGGGCCAAAGTCTAGCGTTTTATTGCAAGTAATCAAGGCAGTATTGCAGCTTAACACCTAACCCTGGCAATGATTATATCACAGGTGTCAGTCAGTGGAGCGAGGCTGGGAGCATGCACTGCAATCATATAGAAGCTTGTGTGATGGCATGCTCCTGGACCCAGCATTGTGTACATTAGTTCATTTTTAATCATTTTCAAATGAATTGAAAACCCCATGCAGCTGTAGGTTATGCTTCTTAACACCAAATCATACGTAACAGTGCCATAAAATCTCAAAAACGTTGTAAATATCATCGGGTACCTGTGCATTTTTACAGTGTGGGGTTATGAAATGTGAGGATAGCGCGGGGGGAGGGGGTGGCAATCATGTCGAGAAGTATTAGTCACACTGGAGAAATTTGAGGAAAACAAGTCATTTACTCACCATCCCGTTTTTAATTCGATTTTCACCGAAGAGCCCATTAGTTGTGATGGTTGTGGTTATGGAGGAGTGGTGCCAGAAACCTCTCTTCCTGATCCACTGCCCTCCTCTCTCAGCTCCTTAGAGAATCCAACAGAGAAGCTGGTGCAGCGGGCTGGGGCTAAAGATCACATCATCCACTTTCTGAAGAACACATTTAGGCGTTTTTTTTGCCTCTTGAGGGATGTTTGGAGGAGAATGTTTTCCCCCTTTGCCCTCCCGTTAGTACAAAATGATTAAATGAATTCCCCCTAACAGGATTTGAAGGCGCTGACTGCCACCTCCCTTGTTAACTTCAGACAAATAATTGTGTTGTTGTTGCCCTCTAATCTCTTTTAATACCCAACAATTCGCCCATTATGCAAACACATAAACAGCCAATGACCCAAACCAAAAACTGATGAAGTTTGAGGACGTAATAAGATGTATATTATGGTTTTTATTCAATAATTAGTCAGTATTGTCATGTGATACAAACAAAGAATTTATGATTATGACTTTTGTGTAGTAGCTGCTTATCAGTAGGTCCTATCGTTATGGGCTATTATATTTCAGAGTGGTTTAGTAGCGTGCCTCTAATGACAGGATGCTTACAATTAATGTCTTTGAGTACTGAGTTGTAGGGAAGATACAATCTAAGTGGCAAAGTAAAAAGTTTCCTGTAATGATGGACCATGTGTGATTTCTCTGTAACAAACACAAATACCATTGTGTTAAATGTTATGTAATGAAGGCGGCACTCTGTCCGGCAATCAGGAGTGTAGTCTTTTGTTCTCTGCTGTGAGGTCGCATGTAGAGTATGAGATAGAGTAAAGATAGCAAATATGATAGGAATAATGGTCGAGGCCAAAGCAGGATAACGGACCTCACTGACCATTAACCTATATGGGTTCATCAGTGTATTGTTGGTCGTCACACTCACTAAAAACTCTCCAGTCAAGGTTAGAAGAATCGCTTGTTATTTCACAAATCATCTTGGAGTTAAAACTTTACTTTAAGTCTTTCAAACCCACTAATTGCTTTATGTCCACAGGGACTGTGTACAAATCAGACAGTTTAAAAAAAAACATTTCAAGCATTTAATCCATCCTCCTTGGGAATCTAATATCCATTAAGACACTGTAAACTAATAGGGGGGATGTACCAAAATTAAAACTCATTTGCGCTGGGCAGATGACCAAGAATACATAACTAACAAGTGGAAGAGTTGATGCAGCGGAAGAGGAGGAGGAGGAGGGGTTAGGGTTGACAGTGTAACACTTAGCATAGCTGTCTGGCAGTCAAATAGTTTAAAGCCAGCTAATGAGTCAGAGATACTAAAGGCTTCTCTAAAATGGGGTGACTAAGGAAAAGTCCAGTAAAAATCGATGTCCGCCAAAGCAGAAGAACCATGAGGCAATGCATCTCTGCAGGAATCAACTGAAATTGATCTCCTCCAGCAATACATGAGCATAAACAGATGAGTTGAAAAATGAATCACTGTCCTAACCCTTTAAACAGCTCATACCTCTTATTGAGTACGAGGAAAGGAAACACAGATATGTACACCTTTGAAATGTAGCTATATCATCAACAACTTCAGGGATTTTGCAACTCGCGCCATGCTTAACAATAAAAAAGTTAGTGAAATAACATAACTCAGTGGTTCCACAGCTAGAGCAGCAAATGTGGAGTGAAGTAAGTTGAACAGACCTTTTTTCACAGCGGACATCTTGACTTGTCAAACACAGGTGTAACTAATAACCAAGTAAATATGTTAACCGCTGTATTGCATGGCAAAAACCGAGCCATCATTAATGTTATTACTTCCATCTGTGCTTCTCTTACAATGAGTCAAAATGTTGGCTGTGAAAAAAGTTTACGCATCTTATTCAGAAGACACTGCTCTCTCTCTCTCTCGTCAATCCAAAACTCCTTTGAAAATTACTGTAAAGATATATAATATATATATCTATATCTATATCTATCTATATCTATCTATCTATATCTATCTATATCTATCTATATCTATCTATATCTATCTATATCTATATCTATATATATATATATTATCTAAGATTTAGGTTAGCAAGATTTATTTCCAAATCAAAACAACGTTTTTTTGTCTTTCAAAATCAGGCATGACATAATGGACACATGGCCAGGGTAGGAGATAAGATCATAATAATCATAAGATGCTAACCACTGAAGTTTACCTCAAGAGCCACCAGATCATAGTTTGTCACAGCACACATAAGCAAAAACGGGGACGCCCTCTAACAGAGTTACATTTTTGTGAGATTAAAGTGGTGCATTATAATAATATCATAAGCTGAATACGACCTTTGACTTCTGACTGCTGTAGGGACAGAGAATTAATCTCAGGGCCCTCCCATTGACAACCCAGCATAAATCGAGTAGGTGAAGTCTGCGTAGTAGTAGTGAACTCTGTTTTCCAATCAAGGCTCATTGACTGAGCTGCTCCACTGGAGGAGCAGTGGACAAAGCTTAGTGGGCACTTGACTGGTTGAGATAAAGAGGAGCACTTCTCCTTCACTTGCCAAACTTCTAAAATGTGCAGGAGATTCAAACCAATCCATTTGAATGAAAACCTACACTTTCAACCTTTTTATGCTAATATTAGCACTGTGACTGCAGATGGCATGGAGGCATTAAGCTTAAAACAATATTTAGTGGACCAGTAAGACCTTGTTTCAGGGGGATTGCATGTTTATGGGTGATAAAAATGACTTTAGGAAAGTAAACTTCTCCTCTTTAAGCATGACATTGGGTGGGGAGAAATGTAAAGCGACAGGGGAAAGCGGGTAGAAACCATGGCTCCATTACATTAGCTGAGATTCCAAACCTGTGCAGTCATGGGAAGTTCAAGATGAATGGAGCAGAGGGGAAAACAGCAACTTAGCTTGGGACTGGTGACATAGTGACTGGAGTCTGGAAAGAAATTAAGATATATACTGAAATAGATTTAGCAGGAGAACACATTTTTTCCCCAAACAAACTTGTCTAGTCTAGTCATTCATTCATTCAGTAAATATTTAGTCATCTTAATTGAGTTGAGTTCATTTTATTGCTGTAACAGAAGTCATTCAAACTTGTTTTGGTGAGTTCAGTGCAACAGGATAGGCAGGACAACATTTGAAACTCCCAGTGTTTAAGGATGTTCTGACATCTGAAGACTCAAAACTCAGCTGTAGAACAGTAACTAAAGCCTGGGATCAACTAACCAATTAACCAAATTATCATGATCCTTTTGTATGATGGCCCTGTTTGTGTGGATCATGAATACAATACTTGTAACTAGAAACACTTTGCCTCATTGGAGCATGTTTACTGTATATACACAACACACTGAACCGACACTACAAACACATGAACAGTGTAAGCTGAGGATGGTAGTGTATTTTAGATTTTAGTAGCTAATTTGCACTATTAATAATTGTTTAATCTTTGCAGTCCTTTTTCAACTAAAAACAACAAACATTTCTTAATTCCAGCTCCTCAAATGTCAGGATTTTAGATTTTTTTTTTGTATTTGTATATACCACCCTGGGCTCTTGTAAAGTTTAAAATAAACGTGTTACAATGTTCTGACATTTTATATCCTTGTAGGATACAGTGAAATTGAGATATAAATGCACATACTTGCTGCATTGTACTTTCTTGTTGCATTTCTACATGCATTGAATATCTGACCTCTATTTACTTAGCTTTGAGGTCTTAAACATCTGTTGACTGCCAAAAGGGTTAAACATGAATAATTATCAGGCTTGTCTCCATCTGCTAAATTGATTTAAAATTGCTCAATTACAAAAGTGGCACAGCCCAGCTCTAATCCTCAAGAGACCATTGGACCTAGTTTATGATGCCTGTCCCCCTTTACACACATATGCATATATACACATACACACATAGACAAGTGGACTGACAGATTTTAAAGGTAAAGGTACAGTTATGAACAACTTAGATTATTGAATTACTATGTCTGCAACTGTGGCTGAACAACTTTTAAAAGCATTGCAGCATGTTTAATCTGCACTTTTGCACTCACATTTTGCATATCATCTGTCAAAATCTTTCCAATCCCTGTCAGCTGCTTTTATCGGACAAATGAAAGCTGTGGGAACTTTGTCAAGGCTACAACAGAACAAAGTCCACCGCAAACTTTAACAAGCTTTTAACAACCACATGGTTGTAATTGTGAGAGGAAGCGCTAAACATGTCATATGATTTTTGTATGAACGCAGCCAAGTTAACAGTGCAGAATTAGGGAGGAAAACTTAAACCATTTTTATAATTTTACAGTGCTCTAATGCAGTTAAATACTTAACATAGTATCAGCAGTGTCTCAGTATAATTCAGGTCTTGTGTGACACTGAGAGGATAAACAACATCTTTCCCCCACTTTTTTGTGTATTATTGACTAGTCTAGTTGTCCTAAACTAAAATAACTAACATGGACATAGATATTCACCTTATCAAATTTTAGGGAAACTAGTAAAAGGAACACTAGTGTTTGGAGGTTTGAACACAAAATCGATGACAGTGTTTTTAAAATCGATACAATATCACAAAACAACCTATTGTGATATAGGTGATACAATATTTTTTGGTAAAATGGTGTCTGGTAAGCTACGTGGGTACAGCACAGTAATTCTTTTTTATTGAATTTAAGGCTCTGTCTTGTGTTTTGCCTAGAGATTTGCTGGTGCTGGCTTAAGGCTACCTGCCATTAACACTGAATCGATTTGACACCCACAGGAGTGTTTCCTTGCAAAAGTGAAAAACCACACCGGCTCCTCGGATCATTTCTACAAACATCATTTAACAGCTTCAGCTGCTCAATAGAAGATCAAGTTCAGTTTCATTCTATTCTTGTTCTGCACGCAGCATTGCTTAACCACAGATTTATACCTGAACTTGGATATTTAGTTATTTTAAAGGGAGTTAACTTTCAATTCGTAGTTCTCCTTTTCAATTCAGAACCCAGCAGTGTCCGACTCTTCTTAAGCACAAGTAAGAAGCAGGGCTGTAAAACACAGTCCAATATGCATGTTGAGGAAAGGTAAATCTGAAGAAATCATTTTTGTGTTTTCCAGATCTGACACCAGAGACTGTAGTTAGAGAACAACATTGCACTGAAGCATTTGTAAAAGTGAATGTGGTACTACAGTATCTCCGCCCTCAGCTCTGTGTTTTAACTCTCTCCATGAAGTGCTGCTAAGCTGTTGGGGAATTGAATTATTGAATTATTTTCCTCTTCTTCACTCATGCATTTTTTATGATGATGTTCAAGCATTGTATCTGCGTTTTTTGCATCCGTTATCTCCTCCGGTTTAAAAAGTCAGCTGCAGGCGTCTGTGCATAACTGAGACTGATGCCTTTTTAATGGAGAAAGCTACCAAATTCACACGATCCCTTTAACCTTAAATATGTGCTTATCGTTTGTTTTACCAGTTCAAGTTTGCGAATATTTGGCAGCTCGCACTTCGAGTTTGTCCAGAGTGTCACATTTTAAATGAATGCACCACACACAGACGTAGAGCTGCCCTCCCCCCCGAGTTCGACTGTGTTCGCGATAAGTCCTGGGGCTTGGCTTCTGGACACGGTGCTGGATCAGACAGACTCACCTCAGATATAATGTTGAGCCATTCACACCAACCTCAAACACCAGTCTAATCCTGGGTCACTGTATTGGTTTGAAAGGTGACTCAGCAGCCTCTAATGGCCAGCAAACACTCACCTACCTACTCAAACTCGCTGTCTTTCTATTTTTCCAGTGTGTCTCGTCTGTATTATAGAAAAAAACCAATTGCTACCCAGATGTGTGATTTTAGAGCAATTATTGTCTTTTAAATAATTGTTCTTATTTGTACAGATGTTTGTCATACAATGCATTTTACCATCTGATTTTTCTATAACCTAAGGTAACCTGTATAAAATACTGTAGTCTTGAAGGACTTAAAAGTAGCCTATAAATTAAGTCTATTCTGTGAGGAACATTTTCTTGAATGGGTGGATCCCCAGAGGAAACGTTTACTTCACACATTTAATCTGTAAAAGTAGGTTCGGCCGTCTTGAAATTCTTTGCATTCCAATATTGTAACATAAAACTGAATTGCAGCATCTCCAATTTTTCAGTTACTGTAATTATAAAGGTTGCTATCAATGAATGAATTTACAAACCACTCGCATTCCTCTTCTTGTGTGAGGACGTCAGGTTTTTTTTCTGTGCTTGAACAGCCGTGAGGAGATCAGAAATGTGCCACACAAGAGCAACTCAGATTCTTTGTGCCTGTTCAAATCCAAAACCCACTGGCATAGTTAATTTAAATTAAGTTTTTCAGATTACTCACTGTTCCACTTTGCCTGTTTTAAAAAATAGAATGTGTCTATTTTTAGGCTGGATGCTGTGAGGCATTAACTCTTGTGCAACACTATTTGTGGTCTGCAGCAACTACTCCTTGTCGTTGAGGTTAATGTAATAGTTAATTATAGGTGGGTGTGAGTGGAAAAGCAGGTGGTGACAAGTCCAACCCACCTTTGGTACTTTCCTACAAGGTGAATATTTCAAAGTGTGCCAAAGGGTAATGCGACAGTGTTTGTGTAGCATTAGCATGTAGCGCTAACAAGAAATTGGAAGTCCAATTCAAAGTCAAATAGCGAGAGCATATATGAACTTTGTAAGTAGGATTTGCTTGCCTAAAGAGCACTTCAAGGGTGATTGTGCTAACTCCAGTCTTGCCATTACTACCTTCCCCCGCTTATTTCAGGCTTCTAAATCGGCAAACCTACAATGGAAAAGCTGTTTCTGTTGAGGTTATAGTACTTCAGCAATAGTTCAGTCTGTAGCTTGGTTTTTGAAAGTGCTTAGTCTGTGTTGTGGGCCCACAGTAGTGAGGCTAATTTGGCTAAAATAGAGTTTATATTATACCGCACAAAGGAGTGTAACATATATAACAGAGTCTGTAGGTTGGCCACTGACATGCAAAACACACACATATACTCCTTCCTGCCAAATTTATTCAAGAGTTAGCGGTGTGGTAAAGTTAGACTGTTGTGTTGGTCTGCCAAGATTCTCAATGAACCAGAGAGAAACCCCCAGCTCTTCACACCCAAATAGTCCCTGTCACCACTGAGAGGAGAGAGATGTTGTTCTTGGTCTGTCCCCAGACCAAGCAAACAGGCTGAGAGGAAAGTAGCCAGCGAATAATATTATATGCGTAACTGACTCAGTGCACGAGTAAATACAGTATGTCTGTGTGCAATTAACACTGTGTGTATAAATGTGCACACGTTTCTTCCGAGATAGGACGTTGTGTTACAAAAAGCTATGATTCAGCTTTGCCTCAGCAAAAATCCTAAATTATGTCATTTACAGTTAAATCTACATTTTCAGCGTTTGCTTTGCTCACACTTAAAGGTCCAGTGTGTAACATTTAGGAGGATCTATTGGCAGAAATGGAATCTTATATTCATATGTATGTTTTCATTAGTGTATAACCACTTGAAAATATGAATTGTTATGTTTTTGTTACCTTAATATCTACAGAGGGAGCGTGTCCTCTTCTACAGATTCCTCCATGTTGAACTGTCATGTTTTTCCCTTTATGTTGATGTTCCTTACGGCTTCATTCAGACTTTGCATGATATTTGGCACCTGGTGAGTTAAAAATGTTATTATAGCGAGGAGGAAGGGCGTTTTATGTGTGCTGATTGATTTTAAAACTTATTTTGCTGTTGAAGCGTAATTATTGACCATCATGAGTGTGAGGGACACTTGATTCTGCCTCTCAGAGTGAATCCACTGATTCATCTTTCCATCAATTTCATAGTTTAACTTTATTAGAGAGCAGATTCTGCTGCATGTTTAATAATATCTGACAGTGCACAAGCATTGTATGACAGGATTCCTAATAGGAATTATTTTTAATTCAATCATTAATTAATTTGTATTTGCCAAGATGCCACATGTAAAGCGTTTTTCTGGATATTAATTTATTCATCTATGCGGTTGGGATGAATGAAAAGTGAAAATATTAGTCTTTATCAGACTTTTACTGGGGTTGTGTGTGTTTTAAGTGTTTTAATGAACCCTAATTGTTTTATTGTGAAAGTACGACTTTTGTTATGATGTTGCAGTTCATTTTTCACCCATAGAAATCCAGGAAAGGCTAAATGTCCATTTAAGGAGTGTGAATGCCAACACAGGAGATTAAATGTGTTGTCTGGTTAATTGAAATCCTACAAAATAAATAAACTCTATTCATTTGTCCCTGTTCCCTGTCTACTTTCTCAGGCACTGGGGAAAGTGGGAAGAGCACATTCATCAAACAGATGAGGATTATCCACGGCACCGGTTATTCAGATGAGGACAAAAGGGGTTTCACCAAACTAGTCTACCAGAACATCTTCACAGCCATGCAGGCAATGATCCGAGCAATGGAGACGCTCAAGATCCCCTACAAATATGAGCACAACAAGGTAAACGAGATCCTTTCACTCAAGCCATTTCAAATTCCTCAACTGAAATAACGCCTGTTGTGAAGGGTGAATAATAGTTTGAGAAAAAGAGAGAAAGACACTACAAAGTGGCCACAGCATCCTTGTATATTTTTAGACTGCTGTCTATCTTATTTGGAACAGCCATCCATAATCGTTTCCTGTCCTTTTTGACACTTCCTGTGTCCTTAGGACTTAGCACTTCATCCTTCCATCACAGCCTGTGTGTGTTTGTGTTTGCTTGTGTGTTTCCATGCGTATATACACACAAATACACACATGCAAGCACACAAGAGATACCAAATTTGACCCCACTTTCCATAACTATCACTTCAGCAGGTCCTTTTATCCCTCATTTTTCATTTGTATGAGTTACCCTTGTAGTCATCATTTTGGGAGCTGTTACATTGACCTCTTATTCACAGTTTATTCTCTGTGAGAGTGACAAATAAAAGGAAGTGGAGCGCAGTAGTCTTCACTATCACAGACCTTTTTCAGGCTGACCACACTGCTTTAGCTTTACATCAGAAGAAGTTTTTTTAATCAAAAGTATAAGTAAGTATTTGGTTAATTATTTCTGAATTATCAAAGCCGACCTTATTGGCTGTTGGCCTTAGTTGGGTTGCCACATGTTGGATGCATTTCTATTGCTGAATATCTGACTTTATGTTGGAGGTTTACAAACAGTCAATCTTTTAAACTTTGAGATTTTGTGAAGGGTGGAATTCTCACACACTGGCACACTGAGTTAATTATTTACAACATTTAGGTCACAGACCTTCGTCAGGCTTGAAAACCTTAATGTATAACGACACGTTTATGCTGAAGACACAGACTGCAACAACCAATCAAATAGGGAGCCCAAATCTCAAACACCTGTCTACCAGGTGTGCATTAGATAATGCTTTGTTTAAACTGGGAGATTTAAAATGGCACCATAGCTTGGCTTTAACTAGAGCACAGGTGCTTTTTGAATCCGTGCTGCTGTGTGGTGGATCATCATTCTCCATGTGTGCTTTCGCTCCCCTCATTCCTCATGAAGAATGAAACTGAACGTGCTGTTTCAGGCCAGCAATTTCACTATTGTTTTATTGAACACAATAAAAAAACAAGTGTATCCCTCAGACATGCTGAGTCAAAAAAATGCCACCATAACCTGTTTTTATTAAAAAGAAAAATACAAATATAGCATAATACTATCTGTACTAGCTGTTGTGGGGGTTAAAACCTTAATGTACTCAGTAGACAAATACTGGAATACTAGTTATGTGGTTATGTGCACAATAAAAAAGTACAACAAAAACTACCGTATGCCTACTTGACATGTCTTACCCAATATCCCTGTGCTCTCATACACATAATGCTGAAACGGGAACTTTTATACTTTAAACAAAGAAGTCCACTGACATCACAAAGGAAGTGAAAATGAAACCTGTTGATCGTGTTTACACTGGCTGTCTGGCCACTTATAGGAAAGGTCATGATTGTAGGCTTGTAGGCTAAACAAGCTCGACCATTAAAACAGCGCAGCGTAGCTACTGTATACTGGAAGAAACATGTTGCCAAAATGAGACAAGGAGATGCATTCGATAATGAAACTCCTTCCTCCTCACTGCGGATTGTTTCAGAAGGTGTAAATAAGTTGACTTTTTATGTGAAATCCAATCCCAAGGGCTCTACCACCACATCAAGGCCAAGTCTCAATCCCATTTAAATGATTTAAATAATTTACATCCCATTGAGCTGCTATGTTATTTGTTTACTACAGTCTACCAGCTCCACATTCATTACAGCATGTTAAATAAGTACAACTTAAACGTATTTGTTTTTAACTTATACTGTATGACTATACACTTGTAGGTATCCTGTGTAAAGTAAGTAAAAAGATGTGGATATGGGTTATATGATAATTCTAATCACTAAAAGATTAACTCTAAAATTCATGCTAATACGTTATTATCATAATAGCTGTCTGTTAAATGATAATTAAACTGTTTCAACATTCAGGCACATGTTGATCTTTTGTCATGGGATACAGGAGAGTTTTAATGGGAATCTGGGACGGCAAAACTTTCCCCTTAATAGGCCCAGTGGGATTTGAGCTTCAGATATTAGGTCCATGCTGAGCCTCGAGGTGCAAAGAAATTTCTGGATGTAGAATATGCGAGTGAGAAAATAAGCCAGTGATAATTAGGACTGCATAACCTGTATATTGATTGGCTTTCATAGTTACTGTGTTTTTAGATTAGCTTGATGGAGTTTTAATGAATTAAGTACTACTTTTTGTTTGGCGTTGTTAAATAAAGACGTGTGTCTTAGGTTTTTTCCCTTTGTTTCTTCCCTCCAGGGCAACGCCAACATTGTGAGAGAGGTGGATGTAGAAAAGGTCGGCATGTTCGAGAATCCTTATGTAGATGCAATCAAGAGCTTATGGAATGACCCGGGGATCCAGGAGTGCTATGATCGAAGGAGGGAATACCAACTTTCAGACTCCACTAAATAGTGAGTAAAAGGAAATACTTTTCTAAATATGTAGACAGTGAAATACAAGACTTTCTAGAAGCTTCTGCACTAGAGTTATATTTTGGATGGTTTTCGTGATGATAAATACATATCCTGGTTAATTTTCTCTCTGTGCGTCTGTAGTTACCTGAACGCTTTGGACCGGATTGCAGAGCCAGCCTACCTTCCCACCCAGCAGGATGTGTTGAGGGTTCGAGTCCCCACCACGGGCATCATTGAATACCCATTTGACCTGCAGAGTGTCATATTCAGGTAATTAAATCGATGATGAATTTAAGTAGCATTGTTGTAAACACTCATAATTGATAACTTCTTTACTGTTGTCTGTATAGCTGTGTATGTTAGTCAAATAAAGAAGAAAACAACTACAACTGACTCAACCTAAAGGAGAATAGACTAAAGAATTATACTTTCACTCAAGAAACAAAAAGTGTGTGTATATCATAGATAGAAAGCACCTCCTTTTTACCCAACTACATTTATCTGATGGTTTATGGTAAATTGTTTATGATGTGGATTAATATTTTATATGCGACAAGTACAATAAGCTCATAAAATATAAATAACACATGATCCTTTGTTAAGGTTTAAAGTACCCAACAGTAACATTATGAATGCAATGCTTAGCGTGTCATCAAGTATTTTTTACTTTGTGGCATTTGCTCAGGCCAAGGATTTGCACAGGATTATTATTATCCTTTTATAATGATCTAATGGTACACTTACTCACTTAACTCACACAGCTTCAGTGGAGGAATTGTACCACATGGAATTATGAGTAAGTAATAGTCTTAGTCACAATGTTAATACTCTGTTTGTACTCAACTGAATATTAAAATCACTTTAAATTCACACCAAAGGATCAACAGAGTCAACCCATTAGATCCACCTTTGGTCTTTTTTTTTTTAATTAAACCTGCTACAAGTTTTTAACTGGTTATAAAACAGTCTCAATTTAATACTGATGCCTCTATATGACCTACAGTAGCACACAAGACCATCAGTAAGAAGATTCTTAATGCCTACCACTGGGTCTGATTTTGTCCACAGGGGTCGCCAGAATCAACAAAACAATTAAATTTCCTTGTTACTCCTTTAAGCAATGCCCTTAAAATGTATAGATCCCTAGGTCAAGAACAGATTTAAACACATTTACAAACATTTTCAGGGCTTGTAGTGACTCTTTTTTTGTCTCTCCTGGATTTTGCTGGCACCCTGACAGGATGGTGGATGTTGGAGGTCAGAGGTCGGAGAGGAGGAAGTGGATCCACTGCTTTGAGAACGTCACATCTATTATGTTCCTGGTAGCGCTCAGCGAGTACGACCAAGTTTTGGTGGAATCAGACAACGAGGTGAATGATAAATACACATGCACACAAAATGAGATTAGTTTTACTTGTGACAAACAACAGCAAATACATTAATAACCAGATTAAGTGACTACATTGTCTGTGTGATGCTTAGTTTCACAGTTTCAAAAACAGTTTCACCTATCAAAAGGCTTTGTTATTTTTAATGTGATGGGGAAGAGGACTTGGATCTGAAGATGAAAAGCTATTTCTTATTTAAAACAATGGAAATCAGATTCCCCTCCTGCCTGGCTGTGCTCCACCTTTTTTTCCCCCTTGGAAAGCATTTGTAAATGATCAGCCAGCTGTTTTGAATAGCGCCTCCAGCCACATCTCCCTCTTAAGAGGATATAGCTTGTGTGTCAGTTTGTTAAAGTGTATTAATGAGCAGGTGTGTGTTCATATGTGTGTGTAGTCTTGTTGTTGTGCCCATGTGTTTTCCGTCCTTTGTTACTACAAACTGCAGAAAGAGAGGACTGACCAGCTGCATGTCCTCTGCGTGCTGGCGTCATTAGATCAGTTTTTATAATATACAGGAGATATTCTGTTTAGCACTCTTGATGCACTGCAGTGCTGGCGATGTGCTAGCCAAGGTTTCGCTTTCAGAGTGGTTGTTTTGTTCAATTAAACACTAAAATTAAGTGCAAGTGGAGATATTAAACTCTTGAAGGCAACGTGGACGCCCTCCTCTCTCATCTTTACTGCTTTCCCTCTGGTGCGCTAAACGTTTATTAAAATCTGTACTTAATGAGTATGAAAGACAGTGGTTTAATTAAGTGATTAACTCTCTCTCTCACTTTCTCTGTCT